CGGCGCGGCGCTCCGCTCCCCCCCGCGCAGCCGCCGGCCGCGTTAACGGTAGAAACTTGCAGCCCTTTCGGTGCAAAGCTGGGCCAGGGGCTTAATTGTACTTGGTTCAAATCCGTGTTAAAAACAAGAGAAAAAAACAAAAAAAACCACAGCCCTGCAGCGGAGTCGGTGCGCGCGGCGTGCCGAGCTGCGCCTCGGCAGATGTAATTAATAAGGAAATGCTGGGAAGGCTTCGTAGCTGGCAGAGAGCGTTATCAGTTGAAACTGCAGCGTATCTTGCTGAGAAATCAGCTGTTCCCTTCAACGTGTGCTTTGCTGTTATTGGGTTTATTTATAGAAGCAAGTAGACTTTTTTTTTTGCCTGTTCTGTAGCTCTAGATTTTTTTTTCCTCCACTTCTACACGTTAAAAAGTTTATTCTGTCAGATGCTGGCATTGTTTGTAACTTCAATGCATTGAGTTCTAATATCATAATTACTTCTGTAAATGATACTGTGTATTATTTATTGCCTCTTATGAGACTCCCTTGCTATCTTACAGTGAACTGTGCAGCTATTAAATTTCAGGGTTAATTCACTGTGTAAGAACTAGCAAGTGTAGGACCCTAATTGTACTGATGTACTTACAAATTGAGGAGTCTTGGCTCTGAGCTCTGATTTTTTTTTTTTTTCCATTTCAATAAAACTCAGTATCTAGCAATATGTTTTAGCTTTATTAACTTGAATGCATGGTCCCCAGAAGCCTGGGAGTACTTACTGAGGCTGACATTCAAAGCCACACATACAAACTGAAATTTTGCATACTAAAAATAGAGGGAAATCTTAAAAACACGTCTGGATCCAGCAAAGGTGATCAGCCAGCATGGCCCTCCAGTCCTCTACCAAATCGAATTAACTGAAGGATTTATTTTTACAAAGGATTTATTTATATGAAGGGAGCATCCCTCCGCTCACATCTAAGGGAGTGCAGGAAGAGCAACTGAAGTAGTAATAGTAACTAGTAATTTAATTACTTAACATCTTACATCTTTATTATGTGTTTTGTTTAAGCATTCGGTAAAGAAAAAGACAAAGAGAAGAAGCTAGATGATGACAGCAGCAGTACCACAGTCCCTCAGTCGGCTTTCTTGGGCCCAACATTATGGGACAAGACGCTGCCATACGACGGAGACACTTTCCAGTTGGAATACATGGACCTGGAAGAATTCCTCTCGGAAAATGGCATTCCACCCAGCCCAAACCAGCATGAGCATAGCCCACACCAGTCAGGTCTGCAGCAAGCTACCTCAGCCTCACCTTCTGTCATGGACCTCAGCAGCAGGGCTTCTACTTCAGTCCACCCAGGCATGGTGTCGCAGAACTGCATGCAGAGCCCAGTCAGACCAGGTAAATCATCCCTAAGACCTCCCTGTGGATTTGAGCCTGAGCTTGCCCCCCTGCCTTCTCTCCATATCCCTTCCACCCCCGTCAGTAAATCACTTTCTACTGCATGGTTGACAGGCAGCTTAGGGCCAATATGATTCAAGACCTTGCTATGCCAAAAAATGAAATTAATAGCTCTCAACTATTGCAAAGTTGCTCCGCAGGGATTTTTGTTTAAATTCTGTCAGGAAGCCATGGGAATTCCAAGGAAACATGCCTCTTATCTTTCCTTCATTGGTAACCTGCCTCTTAGAAAATGAAAAACAAAAACAGAATAGTAATGTTTAGATGACATGCTGTTGAGTGAACAGTGAGAAGGATCACGAAAGAGAATGTTTTCTTTGGCTGTATTTAATGTGAGAAGACAGGAATGACAGCACGGGCACTTACCTTGAAGGTAAACTTAAAAGACCGTGCTTCCTGTTTGTAGTTTTGGCCATCTGCTTGTCCTGTATTAAGCAAAATAAAATTCACCACAGTGCGTGGGACAGGAGATAAGCTTTGGGGTTGCATTTTAGTTTTGATTAAATTAGCATAAACTGAGTGCAACTCCACTGACCCTGGTTGCTGTGTTGGATCTATATTTGTCTTAAGCTGCAGGCAAAAAAGACGTCATGGAGCTGAGTTTTGATCAGGGTGCACAATTCCAACCCATTCGATACCAGTGGAAGTTTTCTCTTAGTGTATTAGCACTTTAATTCATCCCTTTAGAGACACTAGTACAAATCTGGATAACTTCTCTCTGGCCTCACACCAGCATAGTTGAGATCATGGTCCAGGGAATAGTGTCAACATTGAGTCTTGGAAAACATGGAACTGGGTGTTTTTTAAGTCTGTGGGTGACTTATTTATTGTGCTCTTCTGTTCACGCAAGGTCTGCTAGACCAAAGTGTGCTCTGGGGAGCAGGAAACCACTCCTCTCCCTTCTGCTTGATCATTTGCCATGCTCAGCGTGTGAAGTCTTTGTCAGAATCATCCGATAAGGAGGCAAAATAAATAAATAGGAGGACAAAAGTTGTGGAACAGGATGAAGTGGAAAAGTCTAAATCTGCAACATTGCTTTTCATTGAAAAGAAATTGAATGTGGTGGTCTTTGCTCCTAAGTCAGAAGTGTGCCCCCAAAGTGTGGCTTAAGTCTGTAGCTTTTATTTGCTCATCTTCATTAAAAGTGTACTTTTCATAGTTAGCTTGAAACTGAAATATATATTTCCTAGTTAAACAGCAATTTGTGCAAGCTCCCAAAATGAAAATATGTTTGGAGTTGGCAGGAGAAATATAAAATGAGACTTTACTTTTCCTGTGGCTTACTCTTCCCAAGCCAGTCCTTAATAGCAGTGCATGTGTGCCTCCATATTTCTGTCACATATGCTTGCATAAAATTGAAAGCAAATATCTGACCTTATTTCTTTTTTTTTTTCCCCAGAGGAGACTGATTATGCACCAGGCTTTTAGTGATCACATGTCAGAATTTGCTTGTAATAAGTTATCTGCATGATTTTTTTTTGCAACTCATTTATTTATTTTTAATTTTTCCTGCGTTGTTCATAGCTTGAGGTTATAACTCTTCTCGTTAGAAATTCTGTATATTTTTGGTCCTGTTGTAAAGGTCTTTTGGGGTAAAACCATCTTGATCTACACGCTTTACTATCTGTGCCTTTCTGCTTTTAAGAATAATGTGGGTTTTTTTTTTTTCCAGAGGAATTTACTTCTCAAAATAATATTTTGTATTGTTGTTATAAATATCAAAACAAGTAGTTTTCAAAACATCTCAATAAAAGCTAGTTTTATGTGATCTAATTGGTGGGAAAAATGAATTTTTTAGGTGATAGCAGTTCTTAAAAAAGCTGGTAGTGGTGGTAAACTCGGTATTTTGTATTAACAACTGACGCCTGTGTAGGAGTGCGGGCTCTGACTTTGGCAAGGTCGTCCCCTGCACTTTCCACATCCCTGCTCACTGCTTTAATTGGCTTTGTGGCCTTTGGCGTCGGAGCTGGCCAAAACACGTCCACCTGCCCGTGCCCCTGCTGCCTACGGGGCAGGGTGCGTGGGGAACCCGTAGGTGCCTCGTGGATACGTGGCACCCCAGGCAGGCCAGCGAGCAGGAGTGCCACAAGAAGATTTCATCTTATATGTATGTATTGAGATGCAAGCAAAGCACAACTGACCCTGACTTTAAGATGGCGCTGCAGAATCCTCACTGATTTGTTTTCGGTAGTCAACAATAAATAAGTTAAAAAGCAACTCTTCTTCACTTAATTCTGTATTTCCAGCTCGGATTGTCTGGTTGGCAACAGTTTCATCTGTTTTCTGAGTTGTATGAAAAAACGGAGGAAGCTCCTACTTCCCTGTGAATTTCTGTGTTTGGGAAAGCTGTGGCACTGTCTTTATGATCGTGAGGAGGGATACATTGTATTGCAAGATTAGAATCTGATGCATTTCTATTTTCCAATTCAACTTTGGTCAAATAATATTTCGATGATTTATTTTAGCAATGCCTGTTCACTGTAATAGGTAGATGCATTTGAAACCTTTCCTCTGTTCCCTAGTGAATGTGGATTAGTTGATTGAAATCCGTAGCTTTTCAAATAACCTGTTACTGCAAACACACTTCTTTGGTTCTCCATCTGCTGTGTATCTCGTGTTATCTCTTGTTGGTTCTTTGGAACATAAATCTCCATTTAACTGTGGCATGCTTTAAGGGAGTATTTCCAAGTTGCCTTTTTTATGCAAATGGAGGTTCATATTTTACAGTTAAGTAGCTGGTGTTTGCTTTTACCTAGCCTTTCCCCTCTGTGTTGCCCTTATTTGAGTGAAGGGGGCAGCTAATGTAAAGAGTTTGTACGGAGTGAATTAGAGCTCAGGTGCCTGAGCCAAGTCTGGTGAAGATGGTAGTTGGATGGTTTGTGTTGTAGATCTGAATTCTCTGTCTGCCACCAAAGCCTCAGGTCCAGGGCCGTGTTTCTGAGGATGCTGCTGACGCAGTGTTGTCCCATGTTGTTGTTGCTGCCCTCCCGCTTGAGGAGGATAGGGATGGTGTTGGAAAAACTCCCTTTATTTTTATGTTCCTGTGGTGATGGCTTTAGGTCTGTGATACTTGCACAGCTGGTGCAAGTGGTGGTACCCTATAGTGTTTGCAAGTGATCTGCCAAAGCTGATTTTAAAAATTCAAAAGCAAAAAAGCTCTATCATCCACGTGTATGCAGTAGCTATCTAAGGGTTGAAAATGTCAGGGATATTCACACCATAGCACTACACAGGACTAAGTAGTTTCCAGCACTTCCCACTCCTGCTTTGTGGCGGTTGCACCAGCCCAGGGGCAGTGGTGGCTCTTGCTCTCTCCGGCCGCACGCCGAGTGTGACTCGGTGAAGGAGGGAGCCCACAAAGGGGTGGCCCTGCGCAACCCTCCCTCCCTCGTAGCCTTCCTCCCTTGTGTTCCTTAACGTGACCTCCTCTTCGATCGTAGCTGCTGCAGTGCGGAGGGCTGTGCTCCCAGCAGCATGTGGGATCTTTTCCTAAGCTTTAATCAGTGCTCGGAAGCAGTTATTAGGTGCTGCACGAGCCACAGCATGAGCCCCCTCTCTTAAAGTCCAAGGACGCTACCTGCAGCACTAAGAAGAGCTGGGAATTTCCTGAACTTTGCTCTCCCACGTGACGACGTGGGAATGACCAGCTAAACCGTCAAGCGGGCTGGTCCTGCCAGCTGCTCTGCACATTGCCGCTCACGTGAGGCTCCGAGCGGCGGTGCCTGCATGACCATGTGCTCAGGCACGTGGCAGTCCCTGTGCCGCCTGCTCAGCATGGCTTTTGCTGGAGCAGCAGCACGCACGCACACGCGGCTCCGCACTCCTGCCGTCGCCCGCCTGGGCTGAAATCGCAGGGAAATGGAAAAGTTGAGCTCTGTGCGCTGCCGGAGCAAGGGAAGTGCCGTATGCAGACAAGCCAGCCTGCCTTCTGGATCAAAGAAAGATGCAGTATATACCCTGGCAAATATAAAAATAGCCTGTCGCATGATAAGAGGGGGAAAGTGCTTTAGCATTAACCAGGCTTGTGCATTCAGCAAGAACACTAAGTCACCTTTAGAAATCCTGCTTTAATATTCACTGTTAAATTTTGATTATTGGTTAAATCATTGCTTGACTATGTGAAAGAGCATAGAATAATTTAGGATTATAAAAAGTAAACCCTAAGTCTCGTATTGGGTTTGTGCTATAATTCTAAAATATACCCAGCCTGACTCTGTTTTTGGTGAGGAATAGTGCTTTCCACACAAGCAGTGCTGCTTCAGCTTGTAAGGGCTGCTCAGTGTCAGGAGGAGGGTACGTGGAGGGACCAGGCAGGATTTTTTTCACCTTTGCAGGGATGTCTGAGAAAAAGTCAAACTTGTTGCATATACCTAGAAAAAGCACAATGTCTTTTTAAGAGCCTTGCTTCGCATCTCAAGCTGTATTGAGGACCGTTTGAACGATTGTCTAGTGCAGTGATTGGATTTTTAAGATGTGAATGCACCCTGGAGTCTTTCATAAAGCAGTAACTTATAGTTAGGAGGGGAAGATATCCTCAGGAGCTGTATGTGAGGAAGACATTGATATTAGCTGCTTAGATGCAGCTCCTAGGAAGCACATTTAAATATTGCAATTTGCATATTTATATGACAGCAGATTGGCAACTGTGGGAGCTATCAGTGGCCAGATTCTGCCCGGTTAAGCTGTGACGAGTACTTTACTCCTCGTGTAGTCTTATTGATTTCAGTCCCACTCAGCAGGCGCACAGTTTATTGACTGTCCTCTTTCATCGGCTCCTAGGTGGAGCAGCAAAATATCACTATTTGTTCTCTCGTCGTTCATCTTTCTGGCTCTTTCTTTTTTTCCTCCAACTGCGGGGGATAACCGGTCTCAGTGCGTTGCTAGTTTTCTTCTCACAGGATAAAAGGACCCTTGTGATGAGGAAAATGTTCTTGCGAGCA